GCCTTCAAAGTAAGGGAAACCTGAGTTCCAAGGCTGCCCTTCTCTGTCTCCTCTGGCAAGAAGCTGCTCTTAAGTCTTGTATTTTGTCTTTCAAGGAGCACATGTCAGATGCTTTGTAAAATGTCAACGATCCCCTTGAAAATAAATTGATTTTGTTTTATTGTCTACAAAATGAATTCATTTAAGGAAAATCTAGTAAAGGGGACCAGAGGAACAAGCAGTCCACAGATAAAATCTTGAAGGCTCATCATAGGAAAAAAAAAAAAATGGATCAAAGAAACACTTTGAATCAATGGTGTTCTGCCTTGGGATTTTGGCAGTGGGACAAAGAGCTGACACTAAGAATGTCCCAGACTAGGGGCAGGGAGCCCACCCAGGGTGGGGTGGGGGGAGCAGAGTAGGATACTAGGTTCTCCCCTAGGTGCTCTGGTGGGGGGCGGGCAGGGAGGTGCTTCTAGATGGGTGTAGGGTTAAGCTGGACTTAACTAAGCCAGCTGTGACATCAGTCTTGGAGCCAGTCAAGCAGGGGGAGCAGAGTAGGGGCTGGCAGTTCCCAGAAACCCCTGATAGAGACACTCAGGGTCTTCCCAGGCCAGGGCTCAGAGCCAGCATCACTGCCATCATGCTCCCCAGAGAACTCCCTACTGACAGAGCCTTGGCAGCCCCATTAACAGGGACACCTGGCTGCCGTAGCTCTGCATTGATAGTCCCCACTGAGTGTGTGTGTGTGTGTGTGTGTGTGTGGTTGCTCTGGGTTCCAAGAGGGTTGGCCTGCTCTTGACGAAAGGTCAATAGTCCTGCAGAGGACAGGCCTTCCTGTTGGGTGTCTGTGTGTCTGTAACTGGCCCCTCTTGCTGCTTCAAGCTGCTGCAGAGAAGGTAGGATGGATGAGGGCCAGGGAGCATACAACCATGTTTAGGAAGCCAGGATGCTTGCCAGAGGTTGGTTTTGGGGAGCAAACAGTGACCATTGAGGTCACATCACAAAGCAGGTCACTATCATAACTTAGCAGTAAGGATTGAGAATCACTATGCTATGAATATTTTAGGCTCTCATCTTCAGAAGTACAGTGACTACATACTTGGAGGCCAGAGGAAGGCCAAGGGGAAGGATGGAAGCCTGGGGCCAGGGGTAGTTCAGGGGAAAGATGGAGATCAGAGGAGGAATGAAAGTCAGGGGAGGGATGGAATCCAGGGAATGATTGTTACACCCAGTCAGGGAGAATGCAGGGCAGGGTTGGGGCTTAGCTGCAGCTTCATGTACTGAAGCCCAGGTCTGGGGATGGATACTTTTTGGCCCTGGAGGAACACAGTGTGTTTGGTTCACATTTCTCACCTCTACTGTATGACCCGGTACAGGAAAGCTGATGCCGTGGAGAGCGGTGTCAGAGGCAGGAGGTTTACTTGGAAGCTGGTGACCTCTCAGAGGCAAATGATGCTGAGGCAGAGCCCTCTCCCTCCTTAGACTTGGCAGGTGGCTGGGGTCAGGTGGGCCTGGGTTGGGTGGAGGACATCCACCGGCAGCCAGAATGGTTGGGCTCTTCTGGGTCACCCAGAAGTCCTTACTAAGAAGACCTACCCCGTGATTATCCCTGGGACTCCAGCCCACTTGGCCCCTCCAGCCAGTCTTTCCACACATCTTTTCTACCCTGGGCAATAGCTTGTGGACTGAGTCAGGCCCCACAGCCCCGCCCAGGTGGCCTTGACATACTTTGAAGACTTTTCTGGGTTTCATAGTTCTCACTGAAGACAGGTGAGGCCAGGAAACTGCAGCCCTGGGGTGAGGACTCACCAAGGGATGTACCTTGCCCCTGACATTCTCTTTTTCTCTGTCCCCCTCCCCTAGCTGCTATTTTGGTCCTTCCTCCATGATGGTGCGGGGTGAGCCTCTTTTCATGTCAGGATGCCAGGCCCCTGCCACCCAGTAAACAGCTGAAGGATGTGGTAGGAGACAAACTTTCCACTAAGATGACTTTGAACTGGTTCCTTCACACAGGGGCTCTCCTGCTCCTCCCAGCCAAGGGGGACCTATCCCATCTCACCAAGCCAGGCCAGAGTATCAAGGTCATCTCTAGAGGGCTCCCTGAGGAGCAGCTACATTTCAGTGTCCCTGCCCACCTCGAGGACCCTCATGGGGGTCTTCACGGATCTGCAGAAGTGGCAATCTCGTGCAGGGAGATGGAGAATGGAGTTTGTCGGGTACACCCTGCAGGCGAGCGTTTGAGCCTTGGAGCCTGGTGGCCAGCCCACTAGGGAAGGAGCCTCAGGTGGCATTCACACAATAGAAGATACAGGCAGGAGCCTTTAGTATGGACCTTGCCACCCTCCAGAGGCCACTCAGAGTGTGAGCCAGGGCCTGTTCCCACCATGCCAGGCAGACAGTTCCTAGCCTCAGCTTCCTCCACTGGGGCCCAGGGCAGCCAGCTGTGTGTTATCTCAGGATTGAAGCCCGCCATTATCAAAGTCACTGTCAGCATCTCTGTTAAGATGGGGTGGGAACATGGTGGATAAGAAAACCATCCCCCACAACAGTGAATGCTCTCTAAACCCTGAGTCTTTCTCCAGTCTCCCTTATGTCCTTCATCTTCAGTCCTTGCCTCTTGTGCTCTGAAGGCATCTCCCCCATGACCCTCATACACCTCTTTTCTACAACAAAGATGTTTCTAAAGTTCCCTCTTATCAGGCCTCTCCCAGGCCTCAAGAACAATGACCAACACTCTGGGGGAATGATACAGGTGTCCAAGACACCTGTGATGGTCTTTCTTACTGGTCCCTGATCCTGGACTACATATGGCACAGCCCAAATTTGGATGCCTCTGAGAATATTTTTATTTTCTTGTCCTGTGAACTCCTATCCATCATTCAATAGCCAGCTCAGTTATCCCCCTTTGTCCCATTTTCTCCCACCACACCCTTTTAGACACGTCACTGTAGCAATGTGGTGGTGTGCTGGGCAAGATGAGGATGGCGTGTTTGGGTGACGCCAGAGCTTCAGGATGATGTTTTCATTGAGACTGTTCAGTGCTGGCTTCAGTCTAGATGTTTCTCCCCCAAACCTCAGATCCATTCAATACAATAACCATCATGTTCGAGGAACAAGTCTTTAGTAGCTACAAGCCTTCTAGTGTGGGGAGATGCCCATACTTGCCCAGGGTGTAGAGCCTGAGGGGGCAGAAAAGGCTTTCCTCCTGTCTTGCCCCTCTAGGCTTGATCGTTTGGGAGCAAGGGGTTGCCAAGCAGGTCACTGAGGTCCTGTGGGTTAGACATGATACATCCTCACCATGTAAGCAATGGCTCCCCATTGGGCCTTTTGAATTAGGAGCAAAATTGGTGCTGCATGTCAAGCTATGTGGCTTCTGGCTAGCCACTCAGCCTCTCTGGCCTTGATTTCTTTGTAAGTGGTGCAGATAATCCTTTCTCAGAGCGCCCTTATCAGGATGATAAAACCACATCCACATGGCAAATGCTGCTCACCTTAATTATTTGTCAAGTTTGCTATCACCATCCACAACCCAGTCTGCGAAGTCCCCAAGTGTGAGGGCCAGGTTCCATTCTTCTCTGTCCACCCAGAGCCCAGCACAATGCCTAATTCTCTGTGCATGTTGAACCATCAATGTCCCTGAGCTCGGGTTCCAGGAGGATATGTTGTCCTAACAGGGTATCTGGTATTCCAGTCCGTCTGCCCCCTTCCCCAAGCTCAGGGCTCCAGAGCAAGGCAGGAGCTCCTGCTGGGCCTAGCTGCCACACAGGGAAACAAGTATGCAGATTACTCTTCAGTCTCAGGAGCCAGACTTGTGCATATCACCTTTTAGTGTGACATGTGGGAGCACTTGATGTAGAGCCCTTGACCTTCCCAGCATGGTGATTTTCTATGCACACCCAGCAGCCAAGCTTCTGCTAGCAGAGGGCCAGAGAGGGTGAGCAGCTGGCCTGAGGGAGGCAGCACAGGATTTATGGGATGGCATGACACCAGGAGTAGAGCCAGGAGAGTGCCCAGCCCGCCCAGCAGCTTCGGCTTCTCCCCTAGGAATCCCCCACAGTGGTCAGGAGACTTATCTGGGTGGTACCTCAATACAGATGACCACATCTCGGACAGTTGCCCCAGGAAGCACCTGTGGCTGGTACAGCAGGGACAGGAGCTTTTAAAAAGCAGGCCCATCAACCAGCACCCTAGATCCCAGAGGGAGGCTGGACCCACAATCTGCAGGCAGCATTGAGTGGTGGCTGCAGCTAGGCTAAAGTCACTAGCAAGTGGTTGAAATCCCAGCCACGCAGCCTGGACCACAGCATCTACTGGGGAGGTGCCTGGACTGTCATGGGTGGGGTGTGGGAAGCCAGGGGATGCGGACAGCCAACTCCTCTGGCAGAGCCAGCTGGTGCACAGGCCTGGGAACATCTGGGCAGCTGCCCTCCACCTTTTGCATGGCTTTGGCCGGTCTCTCCTTTCCCTGCGTTTGACCAGAGTGCAGGCCACGGTGGATGGCAGCCCTGACATTTCTGCCCAAATGGATCAAAGCTGCCTCCGTTTTGCCCACAGCTAGCATGGCACCCCAGCACAGTGCATTCAATTGTCAGGGGAAGGTGGCTGCTCTTAGACCACCTTTCCCTTGAGAGTATTTGATGGGAGTATTGAAGCACCAGGCTTACATCCTAAGGAGCTGGGTATATGTGTGGAGGAGGGTGGGGGGCGGTTATGCACTCTCAAGTCCCCAACCAACCACAGGATACCCATCTCTCATCCCTCAGGGAACGGCCTTAAGGTGTGTGTTCAGATATCCCTCAGGGACTGAACCTGGGTGGCTAGAGCACAGATGTACTCGTACATGGTGTCAACTCCTTCCTTAATTCTTTCGGGAGCTTCTAGAACATTCCACTGCAAGGACTTGAGCTCCTCTGCCCTTGAGAAAATGTATGCTGCCACATGTGCACATATACACACATGAGCACACACAGCACACACAGAGCTTAAGGAATTGTCATGACACACCTCATTTTCACTCAGCAATCATTTAATCTCAGGAACTCAAGACAGGCCACCATAGCCTGGCTGGAACCCTCCAGTTTTGTGAAGTTTTCTGAGGCTGTGGGGATGTCCTCTTTAAAGTCCTGGATGCAGTAGCTACATTCACCCAAAGCGTTCTTGTCAGTCCAAGTGGATCTGTGGGGACTCAGAGCTTCTAGCAGGCTCTTGCCCTTCAGGCAGACCCCTGCTCTCTTCCCCCAACTGAGCTGCCTGTCCCTCCATTCTGTGGCTGTGCAGGGACCCTCTATAAACCCTAAGGAACTCAAAATAATGTCCAGTTGTCCAAGGTTAGAGATAGAGGTCCAGCCAGTGCCCCTGGTGGACTCAGACACCTCTGGTTGGCCATATTGGCCTTGACTTAAGTGGGTGGGAGCATGTGTTTGTCTTGGTTACTCTCAGCTGACAGTGCCCAGGAAGGCTAAGTCCCATTCTAAGTGGGTGCTTCTCTGATTGCATTCAGACAGCACTGCCTTCCTGAGTGATAATGGTAGCCCCTGACCCAGGACCTATCTTTGCAGCAGTGGGTGAGCTGCTCAGCCCCTTGATAGTTTCCCAAGACTTAGGATCAGAGTACCTGACTTGGCAGAGTGAGCTGAGGCCTCAGAGTTACCTAGCATGACCCTGTCAGAGGTGCCACTGCCAGAAGTGGCCAGACCCTGCTTGCTCAACCCAGGACTCGGTGTTCACATGGTTGGTCACTCCTTCTGCTCCAGGCTCCTGCAGGTTGATGGATGGGTGGAGGATGAGGGTCTGGGAGGATGCCCTTCCACCTCTGCTAGGGGCCTCAGCCTCTTGGAAGTTGATGGGTGGTAGAACTGGAGAGTGTAGGGAGGGGCCACCCATAAGCCTCAGGCACCCAGGCTAGGCTGGTCCAATGTCATCATAGTCCTCCTCCTCATCGGTGGAGTCTGGTTGGGGCTCAGGGGGTCCTGTGGGGCCAGAAGGATCAGCTCAGCTGGAGGCACAGTCACTACCCCTGTCGCCATGCTGTGAGACAGTGAGCAGTCCACCAGCTACCTCAGCACCAGAGTCACCGTCTGAAATCATCTCACCCTGTTGTCTGCTGCTACCTCCAGCCAGAACCTTGTGTAATCCAGAGCTGAGGTCCAGACCGGCGCAAGGAGGATGGGCCTTACCCCATCTTTACCAGCAGCCTTACCACTACTGACACCCCCCCTGTGTGGCCAGCCAGCAGCTTCTGCTTGAATGCAGTGAGTTCACTTCCTCTAACAGAAACCTCCAAATATTTCTCCATCCTGCTCACACACCCCACCCCCACCCAGCCTCTGCCCCAGCTACCTGGACATTCAAATTGCTCTGCTGGAGGGTGGTGGGGTGGTGCCTGGAAGTTCTGGTACCACTCTCCAGAGGAGGTGCTGGAAGTGTCACCATCTGCTGTCTCTGTGAAAGACCCAAGCTAGTTACTCTCTGCCAGGAGCCAGCCTGAGGAATCAGGAGAGCTAAGTCTGGAGTTAGGCAAATGGGGGAAATGAAGGCCCAGAGAGGGGAGGAGACTTGCCCAACGTCACACAGCTGCTCAGAGTTTGGGCTCTATGCCTCTTCTGGGTAGGTTGGACATAGGACTGGGAGCTTGGGAGGACACACAACTACCTGAAAACATTGCCTGAGAGCCAGCCAGTTCCAAGTTGGGGGGCTGCTCTATGGGGGGACTCCTCTCAGAAGAAAACACTTGAGAGTTCCATGGGGGTGGCTTGCTGCTGGGACTGTTGCAGTAGTCCGCCCCAGAGGAGGTGCTGGACCCACTGTTGCTCCTCATGTGGTACTGAGAGCCCAGAGAGGGAACATCCGCCACACAGGGTATGGGGACAGCAGCTGGGATGTGGGAAACATGCAACTCTTCAATACCTGGGCCAGGAAAAGAGAGAAAGACGGAAGCAAGAGGGCTTTAAATCAGACTTCCAGCAGGACGCACTGCTTATGGGAATGTTTAGGGCAGAAACACTGGTTGAGAGAAGTTTCTTCTAGTGCATCCTAAGGTGAGCTGAGCTACTGAGTTTGGAGGCAAGGTTGGCACACTGCTTACTTTCTCCAAAACCTAACCACTGTAGACTCACCTTCCTCCAAGGGTGGCATCCGAAACCTGTTCTGCTGGGCCTCCTCCTCTGTGACCCGATGCCTCTGGGAATCTGCAGGAAGCAGGGTAGGTGGAGATACAGGCTCTGTCTCCTACCAGGAGCCTGGAGGAGGACAACCTTGACTGGGACAGGGCTCCATTTCATCTAGGGTATCTCAGGTCTACCATGGACCAGTGTGGAGACAGGGAGCTCCTGGCTAGAAACCTGGTTCCCCCCATGCCCAACCCGTGCTATAGATGCTCCTCATAAGGATATAACCAACTGCGGGTTTGCCTACATGCCCTGGTTGTTCCTCACAAGGATGTTTCCAAATCTGCTCACCCACGTGCCCTGGCTGATCCAGAAATGGGCTTGTATTTGTCTTGGGAGGTACTTCCTGGGGGTGGAGGAGAAGCCACATGGCCGAGAATCACTGTACCCTGCTCAGCTTTAAGCTCAGGATCTGGCTTAAAAATGTGGGTCAGTTCTTTGAAGCCTGGCAATGACTCTGTATTCCAATGTCATAGCATTTGGGACACAACATCACATCCTACACACCTGGGCTCAGATGTCCCACAACCAAACATCACCATGGACCCTCCTCTGGGACCCTCCCAGAGATCCCGAGTCAGCAGGCGAACTGGAGAAGCTGCCACTGCCCAGTGTCCACCTTCCCCTGCATTACCCTCGGCTACCATGGTGGAGGCTCCCTGCCCTGCCCCCCCTCACAGCTAGCAGGCTTACGTTCTGAGTGGAGGGATGGAAGTGAAGGATGCCCTTGCTGTCCTGCTGTGTGGAGATGACAATGATGTCTTCTGCACCATATTGATAAAAGCAAAACCCTAGGGACTTCACAGCAACATCAAAGGGATCTGGGGCTCCCCAACTTTTAGGGTTCTGATATTTGGGCAGGGTTCTGTCACATATAGCTGAACTCTGGTACTGACTTGATTTTACAGGAGGTATAAATGGGGCTCACTCAAGTATTTTTTCTGACATGCTCCAAGGAGATCCACAGAGGTGCGGGACTCTGGACTCGTCTGTCATCCAAGCATTGCCTGGGCCCTGATGCAAGTGCTATCTTCCCTGGTCCTGTTCCCAGCAGACAGTGGGCCAGCTAGACAAACTGGCTAAGGTGTGAGCTAGCATGGTAGTGGAGGGGCTGGGCAGGCCAGAATAAGACATGGTTTGGGGAGGATGAGTGTGCAAGGATTTGCCTGAATTGTGTCTCACTTGGACCCTCAGGGTTTGCACAGCCTCAGCATCCTTAGATGCGTGTGCAGGACCTGGTGATGGTATTGAGATAGTACCCAGCCAGAGACAGCACAAGAGACACTCCCGTGCAGACAGAGCTCCAGGGTCACAGGGCACTTTGAAAGTTTCAGTACAGGGAGCTATAGGGAAGTCCTGTGAAAGCCCTGTGGGCATCAGCTGGTGCCCTCCTGCAGGTCCCAAGCCCCTGGAGCCAGTCCAGCACTCACTGTAGAAGGTGGTCAGGGCCACAGGCGGTTGGGAGCTGAAGTCATAATGCTCATAGTCGGAGTCGGAACTGGAGTCCGAGTCCTCAGGGACCCGGGACTGGATGAACAGCGTAGGAGCTAGGGAGAGAACAGAGGAGTGGGGGACAGGGTCCAGCACTGAGGTGGGCAGAACACTTAAGGGAAGAGGTTGAGAGCCCACTAGCAGGAAAAGGGGACAGAGTAGCAGGTGACCTATTTTGTTTTACAACACAATGAGATGAAACTCAAACTCTTTGGAGGCAAATCATGTCCTAAAGGTTGTGTGAATGTGTGACAGGTCTCTCTCTCTCTCTCTCTCTCTCTCTCTCTCTCTCTCTCTCTCTCTCTCTCTCTCTCTCTGTGTGTGTGTGTGTGTGTGTGTGTGTGTGTGTGTGTGTCCAGCCCCAAGAATAGCAGCTTTGGTTTTTGTTTGTTTGTTTTAGATAAGGGCATCAGTATGTATCCCTGGCTGACCTGAACCTCTCTGTGTTAATAGGGCTAGCCTTGAACTCATAGATACCTGCCTGCCCTGCTTCTGGAAACCTAGGATTAAAGCCACGTGTCACCGGCCACCACACCCTGCACCACATTTTGACAGGTTCTCTTACTGGGACCTGGAGCTTGCTGAATAGGCTAGGCTGGCTGGCCAGCAAGCCCCACGGGCAGCCTGTTTCACCTCCTCAGCACTGGGATTGCAGCCCCAGGCCACCATGATCAACTTTTTGCATGGATACTGGGGACTGTATTTAGGTCTTCATGTTTTCAAGGCACACACTTTAACCAACTGAGCTGTCTCCCAGTCTTCACCCCCTCCTCAGATAGGGTCTCATGTAAGCCATGTTAGCCTCAAACTCAATATACAACCAGAATGACCCTGCACTGCTGACCCTCCTGCCTCTACCTCCCATGTGCTGTGCTGACGGTACAGGAGTGCACCGTCACATCTGGGTTGTGTGTGTGCTGCTGGGGACTGAACCCAACCAATGTAGCCACACCCCCAGCCTTTGTTCTGGAAGGATGATGGTGGGTTCTGTGGAACACCTGGGTGGGAAGCATCTTAAGAAGTGACATCACAAATCTACTAGCTAGTGAGCAGAGCTAACGTTTCCTCTGAGAACCAGCACCCTAAACATTTCTCTTGTATTTGCTCAGAACTCAAAAGCCCAGGTTTGGCACAAGGTTGAACTAGAAAGTCATCTGTCTGCTAAGTCAGAGAGACCCTGAATTGCTCAAGGCAACACAGCCCGTGCATAGTCCGGCCCGGGCTCCTTTTCTGTCGATGCCACTCTGACCTCAGCATTGGTGACCCTCCAGAGTCTACCCTCCCGTCCTCCCCTGCCTTCTCCCACAGGTGACATCCTACCTTCTTTGGGAATGGTGATGGGGACAGCATGATAGTTATTGACTCCTGCTTGGATGGCAGTGGGCAGGTGCTGGTGGTTCGCTGAAACAGGGAGGGCTAAGGGAAGGGAGCCTTTTGGGTTCCAGGTTCAAGGACACATCTCCTTCGCTCCACACCCGACACAAACACAGAGTCTGCTTCTCCTGAGAAACCTCCACTAGTGGGCTCCACTACTGAGCATGCTGGGAAAATCCTTCCCATCATCAAGATTTCCCCAGGCCAGAGCTGTATGGTCCTTGCAGGACCAGTCCTGCTGGGGTTCTTTACACCTCACATACTGGGGGAAGCCTGTGCCTCACAACTGCAGTTTCCTGTCCAGTAGCCGTCACACCTACCGTATCGTCCTTTGGCTTTCAAGAGAAGAACCACTATGAAGATGAGGGAGACAAGAAAGAGACTTCCCAGGACAATACAGGAAACGAGGAGTGCCAGCTCTCGAGACTCCTTGTCCTTCACATTCAGTGTCACAGAAGATTCTGGAAATGAGAACTGTAACTCAGGCAGAAAAGGGAAGGGCTATGGGCCCCTTTTGTTCCTTGCCTTGCCTTTCCACCTTGATGAAGTGTTCCCATTCTCTTTTTCACCATTTTCCCCATCCCCTCTTCATTCGGATCTTCTAAGTGCCTCATATATGGAAAGTGCTCTGTGAGTGCATATTAAATGAACAATTGACTAAATGCATTTACTGCCTGAAACTCTCCTCTGGCTCCCTCTCCCCCACCTGCTCTCCTGGCCTTCAGCACTTAATGTTTGTTCAGTAGACAATCACTTAGTATCACTGTGTGTCAGGCATTATATCCTAGAGTTGCAACATGGTGACATTCTCACAGGCCTGGGGGCTCTGCCAAGTGGGGAGATACAAGTTGGCTGTGTCTGCTTCCTCAGAGGAAAACACAACACTGGGTCAGTCCTCACGTTCTCCCCTTTCCTTTCTGGCTGCTACTGGGATGGTTTGGGCTAGGAAGGGAAAGTAAGATTTGGTACCCAGAACCAGTGTGAGGGGATGCTGAGTGAGGGGGGCTTTTGGGTGCAAATCCCTGGGGCTAAGGGAAATGTTGACAATGGACCCCCACCTGGTTCCAAGAGACCTAGTCTCTCTTTGCATTTTGGAGTAGGTATGACTCTTCACCCTGACTTCAAAAGGGGACAAGGGAGCTGCAAATCCTGCCAGCCTCGTTCCGTAGCCTGGGCAGCTCCTAGAATCTCACTCCTGTCTCTGCTCTTTATCCATAGCCGGGGCCTCTAGCAGAACTCCGGTCCTTCAGTCTCTCTTCCAGGCCCTGTCCTGCCCCATCTTGAGGGTCTGAGGCAGGATGCAAGTGCTCCAGGCAGCAGGGAAGGAAACCCAGTCAGTGCTGGACTTCTACGTGGCTCTTAGAGCACAGACCCATTCTAAGTGTTAGGAAATGGTTTCATGAAATAACTTCACAGCAGATCCCTAGAAAGAAGTTTTAATCACCATCCCAAACTCAAGGGAACCTGAGGCTCAGAGATGTGACCACACAGAGCTAGCAAACACAGCAGGAGCCAGCCCTGGGGATGGGCAAGCTGCACAGAGTTAGTAGGCACACCTGGCACAGGTCTGGAAATAGAGCTGAAGTTTCAAGTGCTGGCCAGCAGGGCTGCTGTCACCCTAACTCTGAACCTCAGCTTGTTCCTCAGATTTTAGAGAGGCTTCTCTCAGTTGATTCATGATGAGGTGGGGGTGTAGAAAGGCTTGGGAGTTAATGAAGGGAGGGAACTAGACCCCATGACTACTTCTTGGTACCCCACCACCTGGCAAGGTCAGGAGTGTTGCACCCAAGTAGTTCCAAAGCACTGAGGGTCTCTCTGGATCACAAGGATTGAGAGAGAGAGAGAGAGAGAGAGAGAGAGAGAGAGAGAGAGAGAGAGAGAGAGAGAGAGATAGGTCCTATATGGCTGTGGTTCTATATGTCAGGATGCCCTCCACCAACTGAGGAAATAGTCTATTGGTGTGATTGGTGGCCCTAGAAACAAGTTGCCAGCTGTCCCCAGGCAGACGTTCATGAGTGTATGATCACAAATGCATACAGAGGCACCTGCACTGCTACACTTACCTATCGTGACCGGCACTCTGGAAGGCACTTCAGAAGTGGACAGGTTCTGATGTCTCCGGGAGCCTGTTGGAAAGTACCACCCATGTCCTTGGTGAGTTTCCTGAGTACCTATTATGTGCCAAACCTTGTTCAGGAAACTGCACAAGACAGACAAATTCCCTGGAACCAAGGAGAGTTCCCATTGTGGGCACAAGGGTACAGAAACCGAGCCCCTAGCAGTAAGAAAATCCCTAGGGAGCTGGGTGGGAAGATGCTTCAGTTAGAATCTTCTTCCTGTGTAAGCTGCTGCAGACCCTGTGTCCTTTTCCCACTCAACTTTCAGTTTGCTCTTTGGGACCTCGGGAGCTAGAGCTATGTCCTCATTAACGTAATGAATCTGTTTCCTAACTTGTGCAGCTTACAGAGCCCAGAGCCATAGCATCCCAGTCTTCAGCTACCTGGAAAAGCATCCCTTACTCTGAAGCCACAGAAGCAGAGGAACTGCCCCAGTCCTCCTGGCTACTAAACAGCAAAGCTGGAACACTGTGTTCCTGTAGGTGGGGACCTCACCTTCATACTATAATGCCTCTGTAATAGGAATAATGGCCTCACTTTGTGTGACAGCATGTGAAGAGACCATATTCATTTGTAGTTTATTTCACCACACCAGCCACACTAGGACTTTTGGTGTTCCTTTCCTCTCTTCCTCCCTCCCTTCCTTCCTTGAGGTACTGAGGTTTGAATCCAGGGCATCATGTACACCAGGCAAGTGGCCTACCACTGAGGTACACCTCCGGCTTGCATTTATTTATCATTATGGTCCCTAAGACACCAATGCTGTGACTTGCCACTGTGGTCTTAGAGTTGGCGAAGTACAGTGGAAACCACCTCCTACAAGTGGGTGTAAGACTCAATTGAGATAAGCTACTGAGAGCTTGGAGGTACATGGCATATGACTATAGCTCCAGACACTGTCGTACATGTTATTACCATCCGTGTTTCCTAATCTGAGTGTCCCAAAATCATCACCTTTGTGACAGCAAACTGGCTTCACCTACTGAACCATTCCATTCAACAGGGACCAATTACTAAGCACATAATAATGACTCCCTTGATAAATACTTAATGCATGAACTTGGGTCTGAGTTGAGCATCTTGCAGAAACAAAACACAAAAACCATTCTGATCCATTAGTAGTGTCTGTCTGAGCATGGTAAAGGCAATGGATTTTCTTGGGCCAGTATCTGCCAGTTGCTAAGCCATCTGCAGGCAGAAACAGAGGCAAAATTTGTGGACTAAATCTAGTGGTGGAGGGGCTGGGGAAGGTACCTGAGCAGACGACTCTGGCTGCCAGCGATTGGCTGCACAAGTTAGAGTTGTTGAACCTCCAGGAGCAGTTGCTGAGGGTGAATTCGTCTCCCTCACAGGAGTAGTACATTCTACCTGCCAGAGTATGTGGCAGCCCCCTGGGCCAATCCACCTCCGATCCGCAACCCAAGGACCGACAGAGCACTTTGGCCTCAGAATCATACCACTCGCTGTCACACACGGTGCTCCAGACCCCTCGGAAATATACCTCCACCTGCCCTTCGCAGGAGTCAATGCCTCCAGTCAGGCGCCAGGACTGGTGCTCTGTAGGCAAGTGATAGAGTCACGCTAGGATGTTCTGAGCCCAGGCCCCTGCCAACTTAGAACCCCCAATGCAGAGATGGGCCTAGACAGCCCTATGTGTTTTTCCTCTTGTACCTATGACCCCTTCGCACACCCCACCTGCTCTGGCCAGCCCTCTGGTGGGACTCTAGATCCTGACTGCTCAAAGTGTGAGCTGTGGACAGGCAGAAGCAGCTGCATCTGGGGGTTGTTACTGATCACTTTACTAATGCCAGTGCTGTGGATATAAACAAGCAGCACAGGTGGGACCAGAACCCCTGGTCTCTAATAGCTCAACAGTGATGGGGTGGGTAGTAGATAGGACTCCCTGCCTTAGTCCCATCCCAAATATGTCACCTCCTTCAGGCTCACTGACTGACCTGAGCACACCACTCCTGCGTCCTCCTTGTGACCACAGTACCGCTCTCCAGGCAGCCCCAGGCAGTCCCACAGGTAGGTCTCGTTCCCGGTGCAGTTCACCTGGTCTCGGTGGATGGGACCTCGGCCCTGGGTGAAGTGCAAGCCTCCCAGAGCCTGCACTGCCCAGCCGCACCTCAGTTGCTTGCACACCACGTTTGAGTCTTTCAGGTCCCATGTGTCATCGCACACTGTTCCCCATTCACCGTGCTCCAGCATCTCCACGCGGCCAGCGCAGCGGCTGCCACCGTCCACTAATCTCACAGCCTGGTTCTCTGAGGATGGGAGGGTTTGGATGTTAGGGGTGAGGCAGGAAGAGTTGGGTGCTGGACTCAGTGGGAGTGTCTGTAACCTGGAGGGAGGATTGGGAGCCCCTTCTTAACTGAGAACCCAGTGGGCATGGCTTAGAGACAATGTGGGAGGGACTTGAAGGGCAGAAGGCAGGACTAGAGACCAGGTAGGCAAGTCCTCGAGCTTTGCTCTCAGCCACCAAGCCTCAGGGCAAAGGCAACCTGGGAACATGGCAAATTATCTACCTGGAGGAAGAGTGAGCATCCAGGTCCCAATCAGGAAGGATACAGGGAATAAGCAGAGATTGGGTTAGGACGGGGGACCAAAGGGATGTTCTGGATATCTAGCTAGGGAGGGCTTTGCAGGTCACATCTGAGGCAATGCTCAGATCTGGAAATTACACATTCAGTGGGCTGTCAAAGAGGAGCCACCTGAGTTGGCACAACTCGGGAGGCTGGTGGAGGAAGTCTGGAGATCAAAGTTTGGCTACAGTGGTGAAAGCCTGAGGTGTAGGGTAGGTAGGGGGAGGCACATGTACCTGCACAGATGACCCACACCAGCCTCCTGTCGCTGATGTACTCATAGTCCTCTATCTTGCAGAGCTGCCAGTGGGCTCCGTTGCATCGCACGGTTGGTGCCCGCGCCCATGTCGTATTCCCAGCACTGCTGGTGTTCCCAGAGGTGGCCCTGGGTAGCAGCTCCGAGGTGGGAGGCATCAGGTAGGTAGCCTTCTCCAAAGCGCCACAGCCCAGTGCTTCACACACAGCCTGGGTGGTGAGTCTGTCCCGATGTACCACGTATGCAGGCTCCCAGGATGCCCGCAGTAGAACCTCCACAGATCCGCTGCAGCGACTGGTCCCATTCACTAGCCGAACCCCCATCTGCTCCTCTGGAAGGGTCATATTTGAGCAGAGACCTCATCAGATCTTTGTTCCCCCACCTGGGAACGGGGGTGAGGCTGACAGCCTGGGCGATCCAACTCCACCCTGTTTCATGACCTTCCCCAACATCCCTCCCAGCTGTGGGCCTCAGGCCTTCCTGCCAGCAGGATGCAGCTGGGCTGCCTCAGGGAAAGACAGGAGTGCTTCAAGGCCTGACTCTAGTATTCAATTTAAAGAAAAGGTGAGACTTGGGAGCCAATCTGGAGTTTTAGGATAGGTTAAATCTAGTGTGAGAATCAGGGGCTGGGCCCAACAATGTCCTCTCTGGTCCCCCGGTCTCCAGTGGCAACCTTTCATTACAAAACAAAATAAAACAAAACAACAATAATACCCCCACAGAACAACAACCAGCAGGATCTGGGTGCAGGGGCGTTCTTGGACCAAGAGTCCCTTCCCTGGTTCCTGGGCTGCACTGAAGGTATTATCCTAGAGGACATGATGGTGACAAGACCTGCTGCTGAGGTGGGAATGGGTGGCCTCCCTATAGAACCTTCCTTAGATCGCAGGGAGCTTTCTATAGGAACGGTCTGTCTGTTTCTGCTCCCTAGACTGTCCCCAGTGCTTGCTCACATCTCTGCACAGAGTAGGGCCTCAATAAACACATGCAGAGGAAACAAAAGATGGGGCTCATCACGCCACCACAAACCCTGGCTTGCTCTGCACGAATCCCTCAAGTGGCTTGTGGTATACATGAGACTCTCAAAGACAGGCGTTCTCAGACCACAAGGAGAGCCTAACCGGACCTTGTTCTCCGGGTCAGAAGGAAGAGGTGGTTTCTGGAGTCAGGACTTTGGTACTGGAAAATCCACTGTCCTTTCTTATTACTCAGACAGTCTACTTGGTCTCAGGAAATTGACTGCAGGGCCTGGGAAAATGGTTTGCTTACCTGAGTCCAAGGGCACATTTGTGGTGCTGCCATTTCTGTGCTGGCCAGAGGGGAATGAAGATGGGAGGCCTGAAATGAACCAGCAGCAACCAGGGTAAGCGAGCTCTCGAGCCTGGGGGCCATGGAGATGCCCTAATGAAAGGAGCCTGCTGAGGCTTTTGGGAAAATGTGAGCCTTGGCCCAGGTTCCTTTGCTCCCTTCAGACTGGGAAAACTCTCTCACTGGGTGGGAACCACTGCGCTACAAAGTGCTTTCAGACACAAGAGACTTTCTCTAAGGTCCTATTCCAGGGCTTTGCATACCACAATCCATTCACTCTCAACAGCACCGTGCTGTTAGCAATCTCATTTTACAGATCAGAAAGGGAAATGGGAGTGATAAAAATCCATTGCTGGTGCCAGATAGGGTGATTTGCCCCTTCAGTGCCACTGCTATCCACTCTGTCCCAAGAGGGTAACCTCAGCATCTGACCAGGGCTTTGGGCTTCTGTTGGATCCAGGCTATGGGGAACTACAACAGAGCTGAGAGGGAGGGAGGAGAGCAGAAACACGGTGCCCCCCCCAGGTCCCTTGAGCAGGCTGTACCTTATCTAAATGCCATTGCTTCTCTCAAGATATAGACCTCTCAGCTGTCTCCCTCTGGGTCTCTCTGCTCACTCTCATGTCTAGGGCCCAGGGAAGTCCTGGGGCAGCGAACACCCTTGGAGATTCAGCCCTTCCTATCTAGGCCCCTCCATCTGCCTGACAGAAAGTAATCAGGCCTTTAATTGCCAGTCTTCACCAACTCCCTCCTCTGCATCCCAGCCTGACCTATATGGGGAAATGACTCAGAATTCAAAGCACAAACTCCACAATGACTGTAATATTCAGAGAGAGAATTCAGATGTGCACGAGCGAAGATTGCAGAATTTTGCAGAATTCCTGTTCCCACAGCAACCAGCCCAGAGCTCCAGTGGGGCTTTTAATATTTTTGCATATGCATGGGGGAAGGAAAAGAAGGGAGGGTTAGAATGGTGGCCGAGAGACTATGTGTGACCATGTTAGCATGGTGATGGAGACTGTATTCATTTGGTTGTGTGTGTGTGTGTGTGTGTGTGTGTGTGTGTGTGTGTGTGTATGTGAGAGAGAGAGAGAGAGAGAAACCATGTTTGGGGCAGTTTGGGTTTTATATCTCTCTTGGTGTGCACAACTGCTTTCTTGTGTGTAAAGGTGCATGGTATTTATCCTAGACCAGAAAGTCTGGGAGGGCAGATCCCAGGTGGCTCCTCCAGGATGATCAACATGGTGCTCGTTGATTGTTTGACTGAGACTGGGCTTTGTACAGGTGTTGTCCTATCCCTGGTTACAAGAGAACATCTGGATTTTTGTGATCTTGAATTTCTTGCTGTAGGAACAAGAGTATATGCTATCTCAAGCCCGCCTTCCACTACAGTCTCTGTTCACAGAGACCCCAGGGCAGGACAAGGGATTCCTCCTTGTCATCTACATTTTCCCTGGCCCCATGGATCTCATTTCAAATTAGATCACTTTTTTCTGCAGTAAAACTTATAAGTAAAACTTATGAAAAGAAACTTTTTTCCCTTTCCCTGTGAATTTACTATGTACAATTAAGAAGCCTGGACAGGGGCTGGAGAGATGGCTCAGTGGTTAAGAACACTGACAGCTCTTCCAGAGGTCCCTCATTCAATTCCCAGCACCCACATGGCAGCTAACAATTGTCTGTAGCTCCAAGATCTGACTCCCTCACACAGACACACATGCAGGCAAAACACCACTGGTGTGTGTGTGTGTGTGTGTGTGTGTGTGTGTGTGTGTGTGTGTGATACTTGACGGAAAAGAAAGTGCAGCAGGTAAAGGCACTTTCTGTGAAGTCTACAACTGGAGTGTAGCCCCCAGGACTCACGTGGCGGGAGAAAAGAACCAGCTTCAATGGGTTGACACTGACCTCACTCTCATGTCGTGGCATGAACACACACAAACATATAGGTATAACTTTTTTCCTTGGTTTTTTAGAGACAGGGTTTCTCTGTGTAGCTTTGGAGGCTGCCCTGGACCAGGAGCCTGTCCTGTAAACCAGGCTGGTCTTGAACTCACAGAGGTCTGCCTGCCTCTGCCTCCCAAGTGCTGTGATTAAAGGTGGGGGCCACCACCTCCTGGCGGGTATACTTTTTGGAAAGGAAAACAACACTCAGTGCATTTTTATGGAATAGTACAAAACTAACAATGGAGACCAAATATCTGTCCATGGGGAAACTGCTTGTAAAGTCTGGTCTGCTCAGTCTGTTCATAGCTTGGTACTGTATGTAGCCCTTTAAAAGAAAGGGAATTGAAATAGTGGCAATACTCTTAATCCAAAGCACCCTGGAGGTAGAAGTGGGTGGGTTTCTATTTGAGGCCAGCCTGGTCCCTTCCCAGGTGTATATGTCACTTAGGTGCCAGCTACAGCCCAGGGTGCCTGTGGCCACCAGGCTGGACCTGAGACAGGTGCATGATAGAGTTTAACACATCATGGAGGAAGGCTTTTGTGTTGGGGAGGAGTCAGGGTGAGGGTGGGAAGGGGTGGCTCAGAAGTAAGGAGATTGAAATCTACAGAAAGAATCTCGTAGGAAGTGTGGCGTGTGTTACTGCTGGTTGGAAACATTGGGAAGTGTTTTCAAGTCCACACAACAGCAGAACAGCAAAGGAAGCCCTCTGTACCCATGCTTCTGGGCTTGTAGCCTGCAGATGTGACCTTGAGGACTGGGGTGAAGCTCAGAGCCAGAGCCAGAGCACTAGCTTGCCTGAATTATGCAAGGGCTGAGGGTAACTTCCCGATGTGGTTCACTGTGGTGATCAAAGTCCATACCTGGAACTAGTGGTTGGAGAGACTCTGTAACTGAAGCAGGACATCAATGCTCTCTGAATCTCATGTGACCCCTTTCCAAACTGGAGATAATTCTCACCATGTTACAGGCTTGTGATAAGGATGAATCAATATGACATTTTGTCATCCAGGCCTATAGGGGGCCAGAGGGTTACCGATAAAAGCGTCTGGCCGTCTTGGTTTCCTATAGTACTAAAACCAAGGCAAATGCCCACTCACCCCAAAACTGAAGATATCTGTGTTCTCTGGGAGCCATTGGGGAACTGGCTAAGAAAACAAATGTTTGTCATAAATTATTTACAGAGGGTTTTTAATGGCTGGGTGAAGGTTTACAATAGAATGGCATGTTCATTCCCCTGTAATGCTCTCTCGTGGCAGCCTGGGGCATTTCTTTGGGGACAAAGCCACGAGGGTGACACAGTTATTTTGGATATGAGTAATAATGTCATCTGTCCCTATGAAGTTTAATGTTGACCAGATAAAGAAGCATCTAGCAAAAATCAGGTAAAGGCACTTGCTTCGGAGCCTGACAACCTAAGTTTGGTAGTTGGGGCCCACATGCCAGGAGAGGACAGACTCCTACAAGCTGTCCTCTGATCTGACCATCCCTACCACACCCACACAAAATATACAAAAATATAATTAAAAATGACAAATAAATAAACAAAAAAACCAAAACACACCCCTAGGTGTGCTTGAGGACATTTCCCAAGAGGGTTCACTAAGGGACAGGATCTATCCTGAATGTGGATGGCATCACTCTATAGGCAGTCAAGGAAGAGCAAGCCGATAAGAGCAACTGCGCATTGTCTCTCAGTCTATCTATCATCTATCCATCCATCCATCCATTCATCCATCCATCCATCCATCATCTATCCATCCATCTATCTATCCATCTTTCCCTCCCTCCCTCCCTCTCCTCCTCCCTCCCTCTTTCCCTTTCCCTCTTCCCTTCCATATCTCCCTCTGCTTCCTGGCAACCATTTGGTAAACAGCTCTGCCCTGTATGTACTCCCTGCAGTGATAGATTGATACCTCTGAAACTATAAGCCCAAATCAACCTCTTTTTCCCTTAATTCGTTTTCAAATGTATCTGCCACAGCAACAGGAAGCCTGGCCAACACAGCTCTACTATATTTTAAGAGATACATGGGCAGCATCCGTATGTGTTTTTGCTGGCCATGTGCACCGGGCACAGAGCCTCGCCCAAAAGGAGTGCTAAAAGGATAGAAATAGATTGAGCTCAGTCTTTGTCAGTGAGGAAAGATCATCAGAAAAAGAAAACACACTCTCCTATGGTGGGTTTTTCTGTTTTCTGCCTGCTTTGTGTTCTTCTAAAATGTCCATATATTCTACATCATAATAAAAACTAGCTCACCTACTTACTCATGAATCTTCAAATAAATGCACTGGTGCTCATAGCATCAATGCAATGAGTTTTAGGGCTGGCTATCAGGGCATTCTGCTCACACAACCCTGCAGAGAAAGCTAGAACGAACCATATGGCCAGGTTAGTCAATGCCAACTCCCTCCTGAGGAAGAAACAATCAGCTTATATGATTGCAAGATCTGGGCATTTTCCCTGAAAATGTCAGCATTCTCTAGGGGAGGCACAGTGGAGGGATCACCAAGCTCAGCACTGGCAGAAAGGGGTCTTGATTGCTTCTGGTCATTAACTTGCTGTGTGACCTTAGGCGAATCCTTTGCCTTGTCTGGCTCTGTTTTCTCACTGGTATAATGAGTAGATGACCACCTTATATTCTTTGATAATTAGATTATGATCTAAAATGAGAGAGAACAACTATTGAACACTAGCTATGTGTTCTATAGATGCAGCTGTTATTCAGCTGTTTTATGTCACCATCAAATAAACAGACACAGCAGTGTGCAGCAAATGGTCTGGGGACACACATCCGGACAGTAATTACGGCAAGATTTGAACTGAACATGCTAGCTCTTGAAGTCCCTTGCTAAACCCCCAAGTACAGACAGAACAGCTTCTTTACAAGCCTGGCATCCCACTGCAGAGGCTGGGCCACTGTCACTGTGTGTGGAGAGCTCACAGCCTAAAGGCTGCCAAGAACTTAGATCTGGGAAGACTAGAGACTGTTCTGTCCAGCTTGGGGGGAAAGCTGCATGTGCCGTGGCCTCATGACAAAGGGCACACAGAGCACTTGGCATGTGGTTTGTACAACTGAGGAATGGGA